ACCTCTCCAAATAATTCCGCACCGTAATCATGAATGATTCTCATCTCATCATTACCGGTGCTGCACGCTCGGTCCCACCATTCACTGAGGATTAAACATAAAGCACTAATTCTTTAATACACCTCAGCTTGAATGAAAGTACAGGTCGTGTCACCTATTACTTTGGATAAATGTGAATGCGGCAGAGTTAAGTGACGGCAGCCAGGATTACGACTCATGTGATTTGCAAATCATTATTAAATAAAAAAAAAAAAAAATCCACATCAAAATGCACTGAACCAAATTCAGGCCACAATAAAAAAAAACATTAGGTCAATTGTTTTTGAAGGAAAAGGGGTCACAGATCTATAAGATTTCTGCTGTACAATGGTTTGAAATCAAAACAAATGGTCTATAAAAACTAGCAGAATTACAAAGCCAGTCTTCACACACCATCTGCATTACTGACAACGCAAATGCTTCTGCTACTGAGATGGCAACAACAGGATGATCCACAAGTTCATGTGGTTTTGAAAAAAGAATAAAGTGGTCACCATTAGTACACAGTGGCCATCACATAACCACAACACTCAGTCCGCACGATAATCTCCTTGCAGCGGCTCCACAGAGCTGCTGAGTCAAAGGATTGACAATCTCTCAAGAGGCTTCCTCTATATGACCCAAAGCAATAAAATGCATTTATCCAGTAGATTTCTCCATAATCTGCTGTGTCATGTCTTGTTATAAGCTGTGAGGAAATTCTCAGCTTTAATATTGAGCATTGCTCCGATACAGCAGTACTTTATATGGGGTGAACTACATGATCAGTATTCATAAGCGAGCTATCGATTGAAAAGTAAAGGCAATTGGTTTCTTACTCTAAAAATAAAGTAGTAGTTCCAACTAGAACAAACATCAGGGTAATTACAGGCTGTTATAAAACTGATGCTCTGTGGGTCAGGATTTTAAAATGTGGGTCAGAAACAGGGATGTACTTAGAGCGGCTCTCACTTCTCATAATCTTTAAGCTTCTTTGCAAAGTAGTCACATTATGAGAGACTTACTATGAAACGGTTAGGGAAGCAGAAATGTAAAAAAAAAAAAAAACTTCCTTTCTATTGTTTAGAATGGAAGAGGAAATGATTCCTTCGCACACTTACAGTATGTATATATAAATAATGGGTAACCATCAGAGATGCTAATTAAAGCATGTGGTAGTGGTCATTGCCATAGGTTAAAGCTATAAAGATGCATTCAGTTATCACATGACAGCAACTCACAACAACTGGTCTAAGTATTTCAAAAATTGCTGATCTACTCATATTTTCATGCATAACCATCTCTAATGGCCCATTTCCACTGAGTGATACCGTATCGGTCACCTTTATCAGGCTTGCGTTTCCACTGCCAAAAGGGTACCAATGGGGGGAATAGTCAAAGGCTGCGTCCGAAACTGCCTACTACTCATTAGGTACTGCATTTGAATTTAAACGTACTACTCGGCCGTTAGAAAAGTACGTTCTATACAGTATTAATTTGAAAAGTATGAATGGAATTCGGACGTACTACATCCGCCATTTTGTCATGGTCACGTGACCTACCTGCGTTAGTTGCGTTGCCTCACTTCCATTCATGAATTCTCTCACTGGGCATCATGGGATAGCGCAGCATGCATGGGATGCGCACTTCAGAATCTCGCCGGAAGTAGTAAGTCATCCGGGTACTTCTCGCCTACTGATTTTCGAATTCTATGAATTCGGACGTACTACTTGGCTCGTATACTGATTGTAGCGTACTATATAGTATGGAAGTATGCGGTTTCAGACGCAGCCAAAGTCTCTTAAAGGCAAGTCATTTCACTTGGCGGCCATCTTTAAAATGCCTTTCAGGCAGTATGCTCGGGCATTCTGTGTAAATGGGGAAACATCAAATTCTCCAAAACTGCTTGCCAAGCTTACGATTAAATTCCATATTAGGAATAACTAATAAAATTAAACAACAACTGTCTATTTAGTTTCATTTCTAAATATTCATATCACACAAAATCTGCAGAAACTCAAGTCTGGTCCGATCACCATTGTCATTCTATAGCGATCGCTGATTGGCTCCTGTACTAGAAGGCGGGCTTTATTTGAGATATAGCAATCGCTGATTGGCTCCTGTACTAGAAGGCGGGCTTTATTTGAAATATAGCAATCGCTGATTGGCTCCTGTACTAGAAGGCGGGCTTTATTTGAAATATAGCAATCGCTGATTGGCTTCTGTACTAGAAGGCGGGCTTTATTCGAGATATAGCAATCGCTGATTGGCTCCTGTACTAAAAGGTGGCTTTATTTGCCATTTAGTGATCGCTGATTGGCTCCTGTACTAAAAGTCAGGGCTTTATTCGCCATATTAACTGTTACACTTTTCCCCATTCAAAAGTATAAGAGTCTTTGGAATAGTGTCTGACAGAAAGTTTCAGTCGACGTCATTCTCGATCAAGATATGTTAAAGTAAAGCTGTAAAAGCCGTTCAGCTACGCATCTTGTTTCGCCTTTTGGTACTCTTTTATTGTATTGTATTATTTTCGCGAGGAAATGCAACTATTTGTCAGTTTAGGCTAATTCAGTCATACGATAATGTACGAGTTTAAAATGGAGGCATGGCACCCAACCCCACCCCTAAAGCCAACCGTCATTGGGTGATAAGAAAATCGTACTAAATTGTATGAATGAGATCGTGCAAATTCATTAAAATAAGCCACTAAATCAAAAAGTTATGAATTGCTGTGAGAACGTTTTGAACAATTTGGAATGGTTATAAATAATTTTGGATGTGCCAATTTTTGTTTAAAGGTAAATAAGAGCTGTGCTTTAATTATGCAGAACAATTGCAGTCCCATTAAGCATTTCAAATTACACAGTCAAATTAAAAATAGATGGAAATATAAAAGCATTAATATTGGTGCCAAAATCTAAACTTATGTTTTGGGAGATGCCTGTGTAATTTCCGGTCAACACAAACCTGCTGGTTAATTAAAAGTGACTTTAAGTCAGAATTTGACAGTGGTATGAATCATTTTGGGCTTGACTGTATATATGTTGGAAACTGTGGGAAACACTCAATACTAACAGAGGTATTTGTAATGTATGCGGCTTCTGGATGACAGAATGTGTGTCGTAGATGTCACACGATGATTGATCTGATTGACAGAGCAATGTGTATTTTGGTATATTTGTTACCCATGAAACATCAAGATTTCATCTAGACAAAATCCCATCATCTGACACAGCGAGTGCTGTAACTGACTGTAAAAATCATGTAATCTGAAAAGGGCTTAACTCAAATAACAGCACACTTAACATTGAAGCAGATAAGCTACAGTGGCAGTAGAAGAGTGCACTGGTTACTTTCTTGCCATTTAAAATAATAATAATAATAATAATAATAATAATAATAATAATAATAATAATAATTATTATTATTATTATTATTATTATTATTATTACTATTATAACAATAATAATAATAATAATTATTATTATTATTATATTAATGTTAATAATAATAATTCTGGTGGTATACAATCACACTTATGCACAATTTCTTTTCAGACTATGCTATTAATTCAATTTGTAATGCTGTGTCTGGAATACTTAAATTGTGTTCACTCTTACATTGTGTGCTTGTTTGTTTTATTTTGTAAAGTGATTAAAACACTGGCTAAAGTAAACATTGGCTGCATCCTACTGCACAGTTGATGGAAAGAGATCCTCAACCCCACCCCCAATCTCATGAAGCAGTAAATGAGTCATTCTTATTGCACTCTCAAAATATTTAAATATTTATATATGTGTTATAGAATTTTAAAGATTAACTTTCAATGCTTAGTAGCACTGACACTTTTCTCTGTTGAGTTTTATTGTGTATTTTTTTAATTGTTTTAAAGCACTTTGCTCAACTTTGTAGTACTATGGTATATAAATAAAGGTTGGTTGATTTAAATATATTCAAATTAATATATATTTTTAAATACTTTTCTTTATATTTTTAATTTGACAGTGTAATTTGAAATGATTCATGGGGCTGCAATTGTTTTGCATAATTACAGTACAACTTATCTTTTTGTCAGATACTTTGTTTTCCATCATAGTTTGAAACACTGCAGTTCACACTACAGCTGATTGGTTTGGCTATAACACTTTAAAACTTAAAAATAAAATAAGTGACCTTTAAACATCAGCCATTGATGAAAATATACTAAAATTCTGAATAGGCAATTAGGGCAATACAAACACTTAACTAAACACATAATCGTCAGATTCTGTTTCCTTTCTAAATATTCATTAACATTTTTATTAAACTCATTTACAGCTGTCTCCTTCAGCCATTTCTATTCAACAAAAGCAGCCCGCGTTTATTCTTGTCTGTAAAAATCTACTGCAAACAGGTTAGTTTCCTCATCCAGAATACTGGTGTAAGTTGGTCTAAATAATGCTGAGGGATCAGTAATCCTCTGACCTGCAGACTCAAAGCTGCTTTTGTGGCTTGTTTTGAAGGCGATAGTGAATGAGTGTGCTGCTGAAAGTTGCTGCGTGTGTGTGTGTGTGTGTGTGTGTGTGTTTCACCCCTCCCTTCACTGCACTCGTCCAATGACCGCGAATTAAGCGAATTTACAACCCCTACTACGGTGGAGAATGCGCTTATGAATATTAATAAGTTCTTAATCGCGTAGATCCACTGCCTTCCAATGGGAAACGCCTTGGTCATGAATATGAACGATCCTGCGAGGGCGTTGTTGTGTAACCTTCCAATGAAGAACGTATGCGTCATGAATATTAATTAGACACGGGCGTCTTTGCTGCGTTATTATCCAACGGCGAAAGTTTGGCTCATGAATATAAATGAACAGTGTTTGCCGTAGTAGGATTTGATAATTTTTGCAGTCGGGTCTTTTGAAGAGGACTGTGGGGGAGGGTCACGTGACGTGTGTACACACACTGTAGAGTTCAGCACCACTCGACTCGTAGTAAGATCATCAGCGTCCTCCCCTTTCCAGAACAAGCGTTGACGGACCAGAGACGAATTTACCATATGCAACTGTGTTTACGCCACATCTCGGCGCCTTGATCGATCGCATTTTACTTACTTTCTTTTACACGCAGTCCGGGTACTTCTGCTGCCGTTTTAGGAGCTTTTGGCAAAGTATCCGAGGAGAAATGTCAATGGAAATACAGCAGAACCCGATGCCTCCGTAGAGCTGTCCGAGTGCCAAGAACTGGTCCTCTGGTGAGTAGGTTAGCCAATAACGTACCTCCCTATGTTGCGTTTAAAGTTGTTTTTGAACTAACATTTAACCTGGTGTTATTTCGTCAGCGGCGATAAGAGAGCTCACGTTCATGTGAGACACTTTCTATGTGTTTACCGCTCGAACTGTGGCATATCGATGACAGTTAGGTAAAACTGCAACATCAGTCAGGTTAAATTTGAACGTGTAATGGCCGGAGGAAAAACATAAACAAACCAGTGATGTTAAATAACGCATAAATAAATACCAGTTGTTTAATAAAGATTACAAAATAGTGCTTTTGTTTGGTCACAATCAAAGAATTAAGAACATTTAAATGAATAAATAAATAAATAAATAAATAAATAAATAAATAATTAGTAACCACAACTTGCTGCACTAACCGTAGTCCATAAAACGGTGGTAACGTTAATATTCTAATAAATATGCCAAAAGCCTTGTTATTACACTTTTATTATAATAAAAACCATGGCTAATTTTGGTAAGGAATGCAAATATATAAGGTGTGTTTGTGTAAAACTTACATTTTGTATCATTTCTTTCCAATGTAATTTCAGTGTAAATATCTTTAAGGTTTGAAAAAAACTAAGCATCAACAGAGCCTGAGATATACTATGTATCTTTACATTTAAACACTGTTTGTACTCTTATAACAGTTTGAGGTTTTAATTTGAAGTAATATTGAAAATAAATAAAAAAGTGCAGCTAAGTTAGTTAAGTAGTCGACTAATAAGTAAAAAGTGTTTCATTATTATTTTTTTAGGCTTAGTAAAGTATGAACACACGTTCATCGACTCATTAAACAACAGTCATATTAGACTAAAGTAGTCTAACAATTTAAACAGTTATAACCATTTTTTTTTCATTTGCACCTAAAACTACATGTTGTATTATTTTTGGTAGCACATTGAGGTTTTTACCCCCTTTAAAGTTAAGTTGAGTTTGAAAGTAGCAAATGGAGAAGCATGATGTTGTTTTTATTCGCCTGAAGCCTATATTTATTCTCGTACTCTGACACATTTGTTGATTTCGCAATGCACCTGTCTATAAATGATGTTGCTGGGAAGTGACATCCGACTTCGTGTTTTACCTCATCAACGAAAAACCCCAGTGAGGCTACGTTACCATTGGAATGGGTCCATGTAGGACTTGTAAGAGGATGGCAATGTGCCTGTGTGTTCTGCTGAAGACTGCACACGTCATAGAAGACAGCTGAGAGATGCTTGCCTCTTTGCCTAAAGACACTGACGGGCGCTTTGCTCTCCAACACGGTCTGGACTGTCCAGCTGGACATGAGAGGATTATATAACCTGTTATCCAATTTTTCTCATACAGTCATGTCAACTTTGATCTCTCATGTTCCCTTTAGTCTGCATGTTTGCAATATTATCAGTTGGATGGAAAATGCGTTTGAATGATACAAATTGATATTGAGATGTGAGTATTCAGTACTATATCTATAGTAATACGCACAATTAATTTTGGGAATAATTAATATCTTTTTAACTTGTTTAGAGTTCTGCATTTATTTTGGTAATGCATAGATACACATAATTTGAAATATTATTATGTATTATTATTAACATAGGCTCAATCTGAAAACGTAGCCCTATATAAGTTTCTGGTGAATTATGTAGACAGAAGTATGTATGGCTGCATTTCGTCTTTAAAATGAACGCTACGAGGCGGTATGATGCTGTTCCTTTTCACGCTTACCAGCTGACTGCTTACCTTCATATGGATTGCTTTCCCGCTGTTACAAGTTTGTCCAGTTAGCATTGGTGGACTTGAGATGCAGGGAGGAGTTGACCGAGATTACGGGGTTCAAGTCTGGCGAATACCATTTTTTAAAAGTAGGTAAGACAAAAACAAAAGCCAAAAAATAAAATAAACAAGTAAATAACAGGGTGGGAATTTGGTAAAATCTGAAAACGTGGTAAAAATTAGACGAGGTTTTTTTTTTCTGGATTGCTCTTTAAAACTTTCGGTTGGGTTTAGGGAAGTTGGTCGGCGGGTCAATTAGTGCTTTTGAAAACTAGTGGTTGGGTTTAGGGAAAGAAGATGATTGGTCAGTTGATCGGTCAGTCATTCAGTCAGTCAGTCAAACAGTGGCCAATCAGTGAAATTTGAGATTCCAAATGGGTACACAGCGGCCTCTGGTGAAAAAAAAAAAAAACATAGCTACTGTGATTTATTTGTTGCTCTCCAGAAATGTATAGGGGTACGTTTTCAGAATGAGCCTGGGTTGTTTGTTATTTATAGTGTCCAAGTATTCCAATTTGATACTCAAGTAGATTATATTATATTATATTATATTATATTATATTATATTATATTATATTATATTATAATATATTATATTATAATTATATTGTATTATATTATATTATAATGAAAACATTGATAATTTAAAATATTTATTTTCAATAATGAAAACTAATGTACTGTCAATTAAAAGTAAGCTTAAATTGTCAATAAATTAGCACTTAGAGGATGCATTAAATTAAGGCTCCATGATATTGAAAAAATCGGACATTGCAATATTGTATTTTTCTGTGATATACATATTAAATATACATACTACAATATACTTTATCTATAAAATTCCACCAAATGATTAAACAGCAGTATTTGGAAAGAATGTATAGTCAATTTATTTTAAGGCTCAATTCTCGCAATTAGCAAACCAATAACTATGACTTTTGCTTCAATAAACTCCTGATTTGCTCCTTATTAATAATATTAATATATAATATTAATGTAGTTTATGTATTGGGTTATGCATGTAGAATAAGATCATGCAGAATATGTAGATTATAAGTACTAATAAGTACTAACCTGATCCAGTTACTATGACCATTTATGTGAAACTGCTTTGACACAATCTACATTGTAAAAGCGCTATACAAATAAAGCTGAATTGAATTAAATTGAATTAATAAGCAGCCAATATCTAATAATAAGTACCTACTTAATACTGAGAGTTGTCCCCCAAAGAGTTACTTAGTGTATTAATTTAGATTAATTGGGATGATTCTTTCGAGGAGTGAATCATGCATAAAAAGTAATGATGAATGTGAAAATGCAAAGATAAAAGTGAGATAAACAGTGCATGCTTTATGGTTTTGTATATTTTAATGTAAAAAAATACACTGCAAAATCAACTTAATACTGCATATCTTGACTTGAGATTTGACTCATTGCAATATCGATGCAAAAACGATATATTGTGCAGCCCTAGATGAAAACATAATAAGTAATGTTTTTAGTAGCAGATCAGCATATTAAAATGATTTCTAAAGGATAATCTGATGCTAAACACTGGAGTAATTATACTGAAAATTCAGGTTTGAATCCCAGAAATAAACTGCATTTTAAAAATATATCTAAACAATAAAAACTATAAAATTGTAGCAGAATTTCACAATATTTTCTGTATTTTTTTGAGACGTCTTTGACACACATTTTTAAAAGTTCGCTCATAAATCGAAGCCTAACCAAATTGCTCTATGCAAATCATGCATGGATGGTTTTGTATAACCAGGAATGCTCCAGCACGGAGAATTTGTTTTTCCTCGGTTTAAGACTGCCTAGTGATAAGCCATGCTCGCGGTACGCAAACACACAGAGTGATCTCTCCTGCTGATGACTTTACAAAGAAGTGCTGAGAGAACATACCGTCCCTGGGGTCAACACAGCTGAGCCGGTGTCAGGAACACTAATATAGAGATGTGCAGGAGCTTTAATTGAGATGTTGTTTGTATGGTGCTTACAACTTCAAGAAAGCATTAGAGACTGTAGAAATAGTGCCCTGGAATACATTGGTTGCCCTTCAGCTTGTAGGTGGTGGATGAATTGTGCAGTGGGAGGATGAAGGACTGAAACGGGTCGAGGCACTGGTGAATAAAATTACTTGTCGCTTCTGAGGCGAGAAAGGTCCCTCTGCAATACCCACAGCAGGCAAATTTTAATTATGCGCTCACACGGTTGAGTGTGCATTTATTAATTGTACGTTTTCAGCTGAATATTAAATATTTTGGTTTGAATATTGATGAGGCACACTTTGATCTCTATACCAAGATGACCACTACTAGACTCTTAACAGAATTGCATTTCAAGCCTTTTCCATTCATTCTCATTAAACTGGAATGATATACAACAAAGTCAAATTTACATTAAACTGAATGAATGAGTATTGTCAAATAATGCACAACATTTGATTGATTTTCATTTGATTTTGTTAGTTGTTAACTATGGTTAAACTTTCTAAACCAGTTGACAATAACAGAGTTGACATGTTCCACCATTTATTGCTTTAGCTCAAGATGCTAATCTCAAACTAGATCCCACATGGCATGTCTAAAACAAAGTGTTATCTGTTCGCTATGCTTTAAAGGTCCTGTGAAGTGCTATGAAATATTATTTTTTATTCTGTTTTTTGGGGGGCGATTACATTTTTATTCATTTTACATGTGGGCTGTGAAGACCTCTGATAACAAAAAGGGAATAAGCTGGGGGACAATGAATGAAATTAGAAACAATACAGAAAATAAATATTTGAAGCAAATGTTTTTTTTTTTACTTAGTAAATGCGAAAAAGATGAAAAACAGACTTTAATTCATGATAATTAAAGCTGAATGTATGAATCAGGAGGCGTAGACAGTAAAAATGTGGTATTACTGTGTTATTATTCAACTATTAAGTTATTAAAAGTTGGTTTATCTTGGAGATGTAAAATGTACACAGGATTCAGTTACTCGTTTGAGCTGAAAGAGGGGCTAAAAACACCACACATTTTCACTTAAGATTGGGAACTGGTTTAAATATTGGTAACATTATAAAGCCGATTGACCTTTTGTAAAAAAAATGTTTACAATTGATAATCAAAAATGTATTTTATCTGCATTTTAAATTAGATTTTGGTTGTGGTATTGGTTAAGAATATGTAGCAAACTGAGTGTTTTAAATGTTAATCCCATT